CCAATTTGGTTGGAACAGGGCCGGCGGCGTCCTCGTGCATGCGCGCAGTTCACGCATGCGTCTTCGAGCCTGCGCGATTCTCCGCGAGCAGCTGGATGGCACATACAGCACCTGTGCGAGTCTCCGCAAGCAGCTGGAGAATCGCGCAGGCTCTAAGACGCATGCGTGAACTGCGCGCATGCACGAGGACGCCGCCGGCCCTGTTTCAACCAAACCGGTTGGAATGGGATTAGCAACCCACCCCTGACTTGAAGGCATGACTAATGAGAATAAGTCCCCCCCCCTTGATGTAGAGCAGGGGGTCAAACTGGCAGCCCACAGACCAGATGCGTCGCACACAGGCCACACCCACCCCAGCTCAGCCAAGGGAAAAACGTAACGATACGTGACGTGACGGCAACATGACACAGCGAGTTTGACGCCCCTGGTGTAGAGCCATTAGTACTGATGTTCTGAGTACAGTTAGCTGAGTAGTTTTGGTTGCACTTTGCCACACTTTTTATTAAAGAAGAATTTAATGTAGGACAAGGGTCCCCAATCTCCGTTCTGCAACACAGCGCCAGGCCACAGCCCATTCAGAACCGGGGGCCCGAAGTGGCGGGTGACCATGCTCGCTGCCTCCTGCACCCCCAAAACAATACCCCCCCCCCAATAATAAGGCTAAGGCCATATTTCAGGGGTCAAAACTAAGTAAGATCCTATCTTATTTTCAGGGAAACATGGTAGTAATAAATCAATTTAATTGGACTTTCCACCTGATAGTTTCCTTTTTGTCTGTATTTCATTAGTTTCTTTGTGAAACTACTGTGAGTTCCAGAACACTTGTATTCAATCCTTTACTTGCTAGCTGTTTTTGTACCAATTATTATTATTAAACTATTTATCAAAAATGCATTTTTAAACAAAAAAAAAACATAGGGTCTGGTTCCCTGTGCGCAGAACTATTACAATAGTACAATACAATATATTTTATATTAGAGCTGCTTCAGTCTTCAGTTTGATTGAAAAAAAGATTGAGGAATAAATGTAGCCTGCTCTCTTTAAAGCAATCCTGTTTTTCCCCGGATTATACATGAATGGTTATAGCAGAGCTGTGTAATACGTTGCAGACAGGTATTCCATTCACATCTCACAAGCTTCAGAGCATCTTTCTAAATCAGGTGATCAAAAATTCTGGGCAGCTCCAGTTTATACCTTCTGCAAGTAGTTTTAAAAGAAATTGGTACCTTTATGTACAAATGCATTTCTTTATGCATGCATCTATTTATATAGTTGCCCAATTCTGCCTATGTGATTCTGGAGTAGTGTAGGAAGAAAAGCCAAGAAAAAGAAAACCATAATTAACTAACACAAAAATCACATAGCTAATTAAAAACAGCACACCCAGCTGTAGCAATAAAAGATGCAGAATTAATTTCTACCACCAGGGGACACTGCTATATAACATCTGTGTAGCCTCGTTATACTTTAAAACAGTGTTTCTCAACCTTGGCCACTTGAAGATGTCCGGACTTCAACTCCCAGAATTCCCCAGCCAGCATTCGCNAAAAAAACAGCAGAATTGTGTACTGTATTCACCCTTTATAATCTTGACTGTGATGTATTCTCTTAAGGACCATTGGTAGACTTCTATTGTTCCATAATATTGTGAACTAATATTTAATTGTTCTTATCTTGCTTTTCCTCCTCTGAGGGGGCTAAATATGTCTATTGCTCTATCAGCCTATGGATATTGAAATATGCTTTATGTGAAGTTAATCTATGTAGCCAAGTCAACTGGCAATAGCTTTGCAGTTGGACTCTTGTCCTATGTTCAGTTTTGGTGGACTCTTCTCCTATCTTCTCCCTTGGAAAACCAGTCAAGAATCAGGCAATGGCTCTCCCATCTTCAATTCTGCAACTGCCAAAATCTGTATTTTTGTTTGCGGCAGTAAAACATGTTTTCTATCACAGCCCCTCCCCACAGATATCTTCAGTTTATACAGAGAGGCACATCTTTCCTGCACGAGTGTCCTCAAAGAAATAAAGGATAAGATCATCGAATTTCCATACCCTGAAAAGGGCAGACACAGTCTGGAAGGAGGAACCCTTCTTCTTGGCTGCCTTCTTTCCCTCTGGGAAAAAAAGAAGAAAGAAAAGGTGTGGGAACCACAATTAGACAGTTATCTGAGGTTTAATAATTTATCCTATAGCACAAGTAACTAACAATAGATATTAGGTGTATCACATTGTTGTGTTACAATTTGTTAAACATGATATATCAATCTTATATGTATGTGATTATAGTTATAAGAACTGCAGTTGGTGAGGCAAGAATTAAAGGAAGACAACACAGTTAGGTAAACTCTGATCAAATGCCAGCCTTAAAGATGGGAAATAGAACAACTAAACTTTCATTGATTTGGAAAAAAAATGGAGGGAAAGGCTTTGTATTTGAAATATTTCTGTGCTCTGTCATTGGCTTATCTTCTATGCAGCTGTGACTTCGTTTATAACTATAGTATGAGCTGCTTATGTATTCACACTACAACCAAATATGTGGGCCATATTTCTGAAGAAAGATTTATTGTAGGGATTGATGTGAAGTCTGTCACTAAACCATACTGTTTGAGTTCACCTTATGCTAATCCAGAACACTGCAGCAACACTGCAGTTTGAACCAGATCATCTCATACATTTATTTGTATTTCTTTGGAAATTATACATTTGGGGTATTTGTGAGAGAAAATTGAAAGAGCAAATGTAGTGTAGTGGTTAGGTCCTGGACTGAAGCGATTTCAGTAATGTTTTTGGTCAGTGTGGGTCACTTGGCTAATCTTGGTCTGTCATCCCAATCAATCTCATAAGGTTATCATGAGGATAAACCTCTCAGAGAAAAGGTGAAACATAAGTACTTTAGCTAATGTTAATGTTGGGGTTATTTATAGAACATGGGGAAAGGATGTGCCAAGGATCTTTAGGAGAAGCTAAAAACTATAAAAACTATAAAATATTAAATATATATGCAATGTTACTTATTAATCAATTATTAGGAAATATCTGGTTTAAACCATGTTAAGGCCAGCTGCACCTTTAGGGGTTGTTGGGCACATTTGAAATATTGATAATGTCACCATTTAATGGTTTACCCATTCACAAAATGGTTGCCATTGGGGACATCATCATTTACAAAACAGCAATTTATTTTAAAGGTGTCTTTAGGACACTCTGGACATTGTGCAAGTTATGTGCTTTTTTTCATTTTTAGGTTTACAGATATGAGCTCCTATGCTGAGGATTCCCTAACCTGTATAAAAACAATATCATATGGGGATAGCACTGACATGGGCAGTTGTTTTGACTCTGAATGATGTTTATCGTTCATTATTTCAAGTGTTAAGAATTACCTTCTACTGGACGGTCAGCAAACAATAAGGCCAAGGTCTTCATAGAAGACTTCTGATACAGACCCACCACGGTTTCATTCAGGGGGTCCTTGTTCTTGTCCAGCCAGCCGCTAATGTTGTAATCAACAGTGCCAGCATAGTGCACAAGGGAGAAATGAGCTTCAGCTTTGCCTTTGGCAGGCTTGGGTTTCTGGAAGTTGTTGCTCTTGCCAAGATGCTGGTCATAGAGCTTGTTCTTGAAAGAGACGTCTGTTGCCTTGGGGAACATGCACTCTTCTTCCAGGATGGAGAAAATGCCCATGGGCTATAAAACAATGAGGGAAAGACAGTTGGCCACTACATGGACTATTATATACTTACTTCAAATAATTTCATCTTTTGTAATTTTGAATCAAAAACAATGGTTTTCTTGTGATAGTCTATGAAGAAATATGATTAACAGCGCAACAAGCATTCAAAAATTATATTGAGTTAGGGAAGCATTGTTATAAATATATCTGCATCATATATCTTTATAGCTATAATCAGGGATATAGCTCACATGCCAAGGCAGTTAACGGTCATTAGTTGAATTACTGCAAAATTCAATATAATAAATATTAAAATTTGATCAAAACCTTCTCAATGAGTTCAATGCAGGCAGCCAAGTCCATTCCAAAGTCAATGAACTCCCATTCAATTCCTTCTTTCTTGTACTCTTCTTGCTCCAGAACAAACATGTGATGGTTGAAAAACTGTTGCAGTTTTTCATTGGTGAAGTTGATGCAGAGCTGCTCCAAGCTGTTGTACTAGACGTAAGAAAAGAATAAGAATAACAAAGATATATAAGAAAAGAAGGCAGAGTTTTGGTAAAATGAATTAAGATGAATTTGTTTTAAAAACACAAAATGTGTTGTCCATTCTTAATTTTGGCATCCAAATGTTTAATTGTAAAGTGTTTTTCATCAGTTTCTCTATGTAACATCAATATTATGCTGAGTTATTAAAAAAATATTCTAAGGTTCTGCATTAAGCCCATAACTATTATTCTGAAGAATAATTATACATGCTATAAACCGTGACCCGACAAAAGGGCGAACGACAAATCCGCACCCGACTAAACCGCGTGTTCTAAAGTGCTCCAACGAATGAGCGCTGAATCGCACCAACAACAGCGCGGCGACAACAGCGCGGAGACAGAAGGGCGCTTTACAACAGTGCGTCGACAGAAAGCCGATTTAACTTAAGGTAAGGGTTAGGTTTAGGGTTAGGTTTAGGTTTAGGGTTAGGGTTAGGGTTAGCGTTACATTTAGGGTTAGGTTTAGGGTTAGGGTTAGGGTTAGTTTTACAGCGCACTTCTGTCGGCGCGCTTCTGTCGGCGCGCTACTGTCGGCGCGCTTCTGTCGGCGCGCTTCTGTCGGCGCGCTTCTGTCGGCACGCTGTTGTCGGCGCGATTCAGCGCACATTCGTTGGAGCACTTTAGAACACGCGGTTTTGTCACCGCGGTTTTGTCGGGGGTGGTTTTGTCGTTTGCCCTTTTGTCAGTGAACCGCTATAAACAGAATGATACTATTTTTTGACTAAATAAAATTGCTATATGTTTATTTTCTCTTTTGCATATGAATGGAACTGCTAATTAAATTACTTTCTTTCTTGGTCATGAATTTGCTAACATGTTGCAGAGCTTCCCCAAACTGGCAAGCTGTTCAATTCTGAATATATGTCTGATCAATTATATGTGTCTATATATTGACACATTTTTAGAAGACTGCTGCAATGTTCTTTAAGTCAAAAATCGCAAATAAAAAAAATCTAAGTCTATGTTATGAGCTAACAAAAACATTTCAGAACAAAGATAGTAGAACAAAACTGAGATAGGAAGACTGGGTAACAAAAGCCATCTGCTTGGTCCCAAGGTTTCATTTCCTTACATCAAAGATCTCAAAGCCAGCAATGTCCAGCACACCGATGAAGTGTTGTCTGGATTGTCTGGTATCCAATTGTTGGTTGATACGGACGACCATCCACAAGAACATCTTCTCAAAGACAGCTTTAGCCAGAGCACCCACATTATTGTAGACCTAGAAGAACAAATTGGTGACATATGCAACAAGGAACATTCACATAAAGAGAGTCATTATTTTTTTTAGCTTTCCCTTTGATTTTAGAAAGACTTACCTGCTGGACAGTTTGGCCTTTGGTGACATATTCATTGCCGACCTTGACCCGGGGATAGCATAGAGCTTTCAGAAGATCTGCTGAGTTGAGATTCATGAGGTAGGCAGCCTTGTCAGCAACTGAGCACAGTCAAGAAAGGAAGATATGATCAGTATATATTAGCAAAACTATAATTTCCAACTCTTCTAGAAGACCAAAACAGATTCTAATTTTGACAAATAGGCCATACAGATTTTTTTTCTAAATTGGTTAGCATTTTGAATTATTCATTAGGTTAACAATTGAATTATTGTATTACTGGGGGGAACCCCCCTCTCCCCAACTTCAGTCAGCTTTGTATGGAGTGGGGATAATCACACTCCCAAAGTTTGCAGGAGGTATATCTAGCAAATGGCAAAACAGCAATTTAAAATACATTTTAATTTTTCTATGTATTTCCTTCTAAAGCTAAACTTTTAAAAAGCATCATGTCTTTGTCTAGTAAGGGAAATACTACTAATAAAATGCAATATCCTAGCAGTTCTGAAAACGATATGTTGTACTGCATCCTCCATATCATATTCTGGATCTTAGCATATCATGTTTGTCATTCCGTAGTCAAATACCTTCAGTGCCGTCTGGCTCAGCCTGCTCCTCTCGCTGCTTCTGCTTGAATTTCATATTCCCATAGTGCATGACAGCTCCAGTCAGCTTGTAAATGGCTGTCTTTTCCTCAGCAGTGAAGCCCAGGATGTCAATGGCACTCTGGCAATGAAATCTATAGTCAATACATTGCCTGATATGCTAGATGAAAGCACAATGCTCAAGCCTATTTGGAGTTGGAAAACTTAATATATTCTAGTAACGAGTGACCTGTGATTTTTATTCATTCTATTTTTTTGCTGGCCTTGAAATACTGCATCAAGATAGAAGATCCTTCTGGAAAAGGAGTTAGCAAATCCTTTGGGTTCCCATGATTTCTAACATCCCCACATGGCTTCATCAATGTTTCTGAGACGCACTAAACTATGATGACTCATTATAAAAAGAGAAAAATCTGAAAGGAAGAATATCAAAACCCCTTTTTGTAGTAGTGGCAGCAATAAGTTTGGTTTAAAAGAAAGATGGAAGAAGGGAATTTCCTTCCACTATTGCTATTCCCTGAAGCACTCTGACTGAAACACTAGAGGTTCTTTCTACTGGGACATTTAAAAAAACTATTTTCACTCCTAACATAATTGGTCCAAAAATGGTATACCAAAAATGGATATGTAATCAAGTTAATATCTCATGTCCTCACTTTTGCAAATTACTTACATCAGTTGCCATCAACTCTTCTTGATCATCAATGCTGGCAACAGTGATCTCACCCTGGCTGACAAAATGGAAGTCATATGGGTTGGTAGTAATCAGAAGCATCTCTGCATAAAAAGAAGCACAAACATGATTCAGTTTCAAGCATCAGCACATTTTTAATGTTTAACAGTGGAAATAGTCTTCCAAATGGATGATTCTCCTTACCAATCAGTTCTGGCCTCTTGTTGGACATGATCTGATAAAAGATATGGTAGCTCCTTTCAGCCTTGAGCTGGAAGGTAACTCTGGACTTCTCCAGCAGATCTGGCAAAACAATAAAGTTGTATTAGTTAAGGAAGAAAGAAAGGATCAAATAAACACACAAAGAAATATCCCTTACATGTCTCAATGTCTGCAGAAGCCAGCTTGCCAGTGGTACCAAAATGGATTCTGATGAATTTGCCCTAGAAAGAAGAGAAGGCATAATATTAAAAAAAAATTGGGAGACATAATTTTACTGTTTCAGAGATTAACTTGCAAAGAGAGGCAGCATTCAGTTTTTCACACACGAAAGTCTTTGGTCCTATTTTGCACAGGACTTACAAAGCGTGAAGAGTTGTCATTCCTCACAGTCTTGGCATTTCCAAAAGCCTCCAGCAAGGGATTGGCACTGATGATTTGATCTTCAAGGGTGCCCTTCAGTGAAAAAGATCATGATTAATTTCATTTTGTTTCATCACGGAAAATTTCTATGTATTNGGCTGAGTCAACCTTGAGCCGGTCAGATTAGAACCGCTGAATTGCAGATAACGGTCAGCTGAAGTGACCTGCAGTGCTGCACCCTAACCACTGCGCCACCTCGGCTCTTATAAACAGATTATATCACTCCTTGTTTCTTTAGTCATAAACTATCTGGAGTATCTTAGTCCCATATTTATTTTGAGTATAGTCAATCCATCTTCTCCACTCCAGCTTATATCTCTCATTTGAGTGGTCCTTGAGATATCATCACGGGAGGTTTTAAAGAAGAGATTGGAGAAGGATTTGTCTGAAATGGTGTGGGGTTTCCTGCTTGAGCAGGGGGTTGGACTAGAAGACCTCCAGGGTCCCTTTGCAGCTCAAGCCACGTGGTCCTGTCCACCATTAAACCATCTTTCCAAGCAGCCTCCATGTTTCCATGTTTCTTTTTCCCCCACTTGGAGCTCAACCCAGGTGGACGTGTCTTTCCAACAGACGACGCCTGTTTGAACGTCTCTTTGGGGATGTGAGGTTTGCAGAGCGTGTAAACAAAAATATGGCACCCTTGATCTCACGGCTTCGGGATTTATGCGCCAGGCGGAGCTGCTGAATGTTGTTGAAGGAAACTGCTGGCACATCTCTTTCCTGTTGTTGAAAGGAAGCGTTCAACTATTTGCCACCCGCAGGAATTATTGTTTATGGTCTCCGGATGGGTCTTGGCAGACTCTGCCCCTCGGACTCTGGTGGGTTTATTTTCAAATGGTTTCACTGGTGGCCAAGGCCCTCTCTGGACCAAAGAGCTCCGTTTCCCGTTATCCCAGAGAGGGTTTGGTTTGAATTACGGTTGTCCTTGGCAATCCGGCATAGAGAACTATGGCAGGACCTAGTGGGAACTTGAACCAGGACTGAGGACATGAGAAGGAGGAAGGAGGGAGAAAGAAAAGGGGAAGGAGAAAGAAAAGGAGAAGGAGGAGGGAGGGGGAGGAGAAAGAAAAGAGGAAGGAGAAAGAAAAGGGGAAAGAGGAAGGAAGAAGGAGAAAGAAAAGAGGAAGGAGGAAGGAAAAAGGAGAAAGGAGAAAGAAAAGAGGAAGGAGGAAGGAGGAAGAAAAGAGGAAGGAGAAAGAAAAGGGGAAAGAGGAAGAAGGAGAAGGAAGAAGAAAGGAGAAGGAAAAGAGGAAGGAAGAAGGAGGAAGAAAAGAGGAAGGAGAAAGAAAAGGGGAAAGAGGAAGGAAGAAGGAGAAAGAAAAGAGGAAGGAGGAAGAAGAACAAGAAAGAAAAAGAAGGAGGGAGAAAGAAAAGAGGAAGGAGGAAGGAAGGAGGAGGAAGGAGAAAGAAAAGAGGAAGGAAGGAGAAAGAAAAGGAGAAGGAGGAAGGAGCAGGAAAGAAGGAAGGAGATAGAAGGAGGAGAAAGATGGAGGAAGGAGAAGGAGAAGGAAAGGAGGAAGAAGAAGAAGAAGAAGAAGAAGGAAAGGAGGAAGGAGATAGGAGGAAGGAGGAAGGAAAAAGGAGGAAGGAGCAGGAAAGAAGGAAGGAGGTAGAAGGAGGAGGAGGAAGGAGGAAGGAAGGAGGAAGGAGAAAAAAGGGGAAGGAGGAAGGAAGAAGGAGGAAGGAGTAGGAAACAAGGAAGGAGGTAGGAGGAGGAGGATGGAGGAAGGTGGAAGAAGAAGGAGAAGGAAAGGAGGAAGAAGAAGGAAAAGAGGAAGGAGAAAGAAAGGAGGAATGAGGTAGAAGGAGAAGGAAGAAGAAAGGAGAAGGAAAAGAGGAAGGAAGAAGGAGCAAGGAGCAGAAAAGAAGGAAGGTGGAAGGAGGAGAAGGAAGAGGAGGATGGAGGAAGGTGGAAGGGGAAGGAAAGGAGGAAGAAGAAGGAAAGGAGGTAGGAGGAAAAGGAGGAGAAGGAGGAGGAAGGGGCAGGAAAGAAAGAAGAAGGAAAGGAGGTAGGAGGAGAAGGCGGAGAAGGAGCATGGAGGAGAGTGGAAGGAGAAGGAGGAGGAGGAAGAAGGAGGAGGAGAAGGAGCAAGAAGTAAAGACAGATCTGCTAAATGTTGGAAGTGCAACCCAATCCCTGGGACATATTGCCAGATGTGGTGGACCTGCCCCAAAGGTAAAAAATATTGGATGAAAATACATACTTGGTTGGGAAAAAAAAACGATAAAACAGCAAACAGATTTGAAACCAAAGATATTTTTATTGGGCATTTTACCGGAAAAATAGGTGAGAACCACCTGTAATTGACCCATTCGATTCATCCCAGGTCAGTGGGGGGCTAAGCTTTTTGGAACTGAGTGGCCAATGCCCATGTTTGCGCCCTCAAAATCCAATGCGCACATGCGCTCCCTGCACCCTGTTTTGGCTTCCAGATTGGTGCAGGAGGCCTTCCAAGCCCAAAATAAGGGGGGGAGGCACGGGGGCCACACACACGGAAACCCCCCAAATGCAATGCAAGCACTTCCTGTGCATGCACCCCCACCCCTTGAGCATGCACATCCCACATCAACTTCACCATCCCAGTCCTAGGTAGTTAAAGAAAAGAGTCAGAATTTTAGGAGGAATCTCCTGATTGTAAGAAGCGTTAAAACAGTGGCGGAGAGGTGCTTTTCCTTTCAAAAGGTGGCTGCCTCGGATTGTACGGAGGGGGGGGTTGGACTTGATGACCTCTAAGGACTCCGCTGATTCACACAGCCGGCGGTTCTTTGCCTCTGGACCAGTGCCAATGAAAAAAAGAAGACGTTGAACGTTTGTTTCTGCTCCCATAGATCCCTGCCAATATATGCTTTTTCCTTTTGCCCAAACTTTGCCAAGCCGTTTTCCCTAACGTATTCCTGTTTTTAAGGTGATTTATGAAGGTCTCTGCCCAATGTAGCACGGGGAAAAACAATATTTAGAGAAGCCTAAATTGTTTCGTCGGCTTCCCAAAAACGAGGGGATGCCCGTATGGATGTGAAAAATGAATTAATTTCCCCATCGCCACTTGGGCACGATGGAAAGTTGGCAGGTGGGAACTGGCCTTTTCTTACCCCCTGGCGAAACAGATTCATTTGCGGTTCACCTCCGAGAGAAACTGACATTCAGAGGTTTTGGGGGTTGTTTCTGACGCTTCTTTGGGAAATCTTCTTTTTTTGGGGGGTGGGAAAGGCAGTGCCAGGCCTGCATACATCTTTTCTTTTGGATCTTTGGCCTGCTGGG